CTCAACTCCATTTTCTCCCCCCGGTCTAAGAACTCCCCACCTACGTCCGTGACACCACCCACCCCCTCCTCCTCCTCCAAAACTTCCGATTCCCTGGTCCCCAACACCTCATCTTCACCATAGATGTCCAATCCCTATATACTTGCGTTCCCCATACAGATGGCCTAAAGGCCCTCCGCTTCTTCCTGTGTCACAGGCCCGACCAGTCTCCTTCCACTGACACCCTTGTCCGCTTAGCTGAACTCATCCTCACCCTTAACAACTTCTCCTTCAATTCCTGCCACTTCCTACAGACAAAGGGAGTGGCCATGGATACCTGCAGGGGCCCAAGCTATGCCTGCCTCTTTGTAGGATACGTGGAACAATCCCTCTTCCGAAGCTACACTGGCCCTATCACCCACCTCTTCCTCCGTAACGTCGATGACTGTATCGGTGCTGCCTCGTGCTCCCATGAGGAGCTCGAACAGTTTATCCACTTCACTAACGCCTTCCACCTCAACCTTAAGTTCACCTGGACCATCTCCGATACCTCTCTCTCCTTCCTGGACCATCTCTGGCAACCACCTGGAAACAGATACCTATTTCAAGCCTACCGACTCCCACTGCTACCTAGAATACACCTCTTCTCACCCACCTTCCTGCAAAAATGCCATCCCCGACTCCCAATTCCTTTGCCTCCGCCGCATCTGGTCCCATGATGAGGCATTCCACTCCCGGACTTCCCAGATGTCCTTGTTTTTCAAGGACCGCAACTTCCCCTCCACAGTGGTTGAACACGCCCTCGACCGCATCTCTTGCGTTTCCCACAACACATCCCTCACACCCCCTCCCTGCAATAACAACAAAAACAGAATCCCCCTCATCCTCCACCCCACCAACCTCCGGATCCAATGCATCATCCTCTGCCCCTTCCGCTACCTGCAATCTGACCTCACTACCAAGGACATTTTTTCCCTCCCCACCCTTATCTGCCTTCCGGAGGGACTGCTCTCTTCGTGACTCCCTTGTCTGCTCCACACTCCCCACTAGCCCCACCACCGCCGGCACTTTTCCCTGCAACCGCAGGAAGTGCTACACCAGCCCCTACACCTCCCCCCTCACTCCCATCCCAGGCCCCAAGAAAACCTTCCACATTAGCAGGTGTGCAGGTGAACATTTGTTTAATATAGTATACTGTATCCGCTGTTCCTGATGTGGCCTCCTCTACATCGGGGAAACCAAGCGGAGGCTTGGAGACCGCTTTGTGGAACACCTACGCTCGGTTTGCGACAAACAGCTCCACCTCCCAGTCGCACTTCAACTCGCCCTCCCACTTCTTGAACGACATCCATCCTGGGCCGCCTCCAGTGCCACAACGATGCCACCTGAAAGTTGCAGGAACAGCACCTCATATTTCGCTTGGGAACCCTCTGGCCCAATGGTCTCAATGTGGACTTCATAAGCTTCAAAATCTTCCCACTCCTGACTGCATCCAAAAATCAGCCCAGCTTGTCACCGCCTCCTTGACCTGCCCGTCTTCCCTTGACTGACCTACCCCCATCCTAACTCCTCACCTTTACTGGCTCCATCCCCACCTCCTTGACCTGTCCATCTCCTCTCCACCTATCTGGTCCTTTATCCGTCTTCCATCCGCCCCCCCGTCTCTCTCTCTCAATTTCAGAATCCCCTTTCCCTCCCCCATTTCTGAGGAAGGGTCTAGACCGGAAACATCAGCTTTCCTGCTCCTCTGATGGCCTGCTGTGTTCATCCAGCTCTACACCTTGTTATCTCAGTTTTTCAGGTTGATGCTTTTCGAGAGAACTGAGGTACCTTTTTGTGAGTTACCTTCATTCAAAAGTTAGCATAGTTTTACCAAAGACGGGAAAATTTGCATTTAATTATAGTTACTGTTATGAAGGCAATTTTTGAAAATCTGTGAAAGAATACTGCACCCCCAATTAGAGCTCAACTTTTGGTGCTGCTTGGAGTTGTCACTTATTAAAATTAATAGAGCAGTGATTGGTAGAGGGCTTTTGGGGCCAACTTCACCCTGGTTGAACTTGTGACTTCTGATAACTTCAGATTTTAGTTAGTCTGTGTGAATTTGGATGACATGACAAGAAAAATTATACTTCCAAGTAAACAAAGGATTTGTAAAGAATCTATCTGTAAGGAAAAGCATTAAGTTTGCTGTGATCTCAAAAATAAAGAATAGATGAATTGTCTGGCCATAAGCCATGGTGTTCGTGAGGTGCTGCAAAATATGTGGTGGACTTTACAATGTGCGGAACTTCAAGGAACAATCAGAAGGGCTATCATTTGTTCAGTTGCTTGATAGCAACAAACTCAAATAAAAGGCAGTTGGTACACATGTTGTCTCTATGTAGTCTTTAAGGGTGATTAGCTGTCAATGCGCTCATTCCTAGGCAGAGAATTTGAGCCAGAAGTTGCACAAGTACTTCTTTCTGTAGCAGGTGCTTGAGTCCCTTAGATGTATAGGTTGCGACAGGTGGCCTGCAGTATTCAATATGTACTGATGCCATTGTCTTGATTTGTTTAAAACACATTTCTGTTTGAGTCATGTTTTCCAAATCAAATAAATTGTGAAAAAAGTTATGTTTTTTAATCTGGAAGTCTAGCTAATGAAAGAGCATCTTAATTGCTCATGTAACTTAATGTGCCAAGTGCACTCCATTCATTAAATATGTTTAAATTGCCAAAGAAACAGTGATGCCCATCATCACAACAAAACAGCCTACCGTAATGCTAGTTCACTTGTCACACAAGTTTCCCTTTTTTAGTTGCACGATAATCAGTTCCAGACGCATACATTACACATTGTATATTGAGTGCAGGACAAATTGTTGGTGTCTTTGGAGATGGTTTACTACTTCAAGCAAGTTTGAAAATTCCTTCCCTTGACTAGGTGAGTAGAATAGCAAAGAACAGAAGATATTGAGGTAATAGCAGTCATTGACATAGAATTCTGCTTGGGTATTACTATGTGTCAGTCCACTATTGTAGGTTTGTATTAGTATGTCATTGGGCGCAAAATAGGAATTACGTGACATTTGAATAAGGCCTTGAGTGAAGACCGTGGTGAGGTAATTTGCAGGTCTGTACTGCAAGTTTAATGTCTATATTAGATATTAATCAATGCAATTGTGACCCAATTATATCAAGTTACAAGATTGCTATAGTTCTGTAAAGTGATTGCTTTTGTTAGATATTTTTCCTTTGTAGAACTCTACTGAACAGTGTCTCTGCACTTGAAGTTATTCATTGAATATGACCCAAATATCAAAATTCTAGATTCAACTGTTGACACTTCCATGGTTGAGACACTAGTATTAGCCACATCACAACACACAAAAATGGAAAACAATTTTTGGGCCTTTCATTATGACCAGTCAAAGGGGACTATTGTCTCATGGCTCTAATTAAGGAATATTTAGTGCTATCCTACAGTGAAATTATGGACAGAGCGAAACTTGAGTAAATGAGAATTTATTTTTCCTCCTATGTTGCAGTGAAGTTGGTAAGATGTATTTTAATTCCCACTGTAAGTGCACATATATTCATTAAATGTTTTATGAAATTCTATTGAATATGTTAAAAATTGAAACTAAGCCAATACATTTTTCACAGTGAATTTTGCCTGCTTGTCAACTGTCATTATTTTGATTCACTTGTTGGATATTGGCATTGCTGGCTAGACTGGCATTTATTGCCTGTCCCTAGTTGCCCTTGAGAAAGTGGTGAGCTGCTGCCTTGAACTGCTGCAGTCAGTGTGCATTAGATAGGCCCAAATGCAGTTAGGGAGGCAATTCCAGGATTTTGACCCAATGACACTGAAGGAATGTCGATATATTTCCTTGTCAGGATGGTGAATTGATTTGTGGGGAATTTGTAGGTGGTGGTGTTCCCATGTATTTGTTGTCCTTGTCCTTCTATATGGAAATGATTGAGAGATTACAAGATGCTGTCCAAGGATCCTTGGTGAATATCAACAGTGCATTTTGTAGATGATACACACTGCTGCTACCGAGTGTTGGTAATGGAGAGAGTGAATCTTTGTGGGTATGGTGAATCAAGTGGGCTATGTAATCCTTGATGTCAAGCTTCTTGATTATTGTTGGAGCTGTACTCATCCAGGTATGTGGGCAGTATTCCATCGCACTGCTGACTTGTATCCTGTAGGTGGTGGACAGCCTTTGGGGAGTCAGGGTTTGAGTTACTTGCTCCAGTATTCCTACCCTCTGACCTGCAGTTGTATTCACTGTGTTTGTGGTGAACCCAGTTGAGTTTCTGGTCAACGGTAAGCCCCCAGGATATTGATCATGGGGAATTCAGTGATGGTACCTCCATTAAATGTCGTGGGGTGGTGGTAAGATCACCTGTTATTAGGGAGAGTCATTGCTTGGCATTTGTGTGGCATGAATATTATTTGCCACTTTGCTTTTCAAGCCTGGATATTGAGCTTTACTCTTTTTTTAAGAGAAGACTGCTCCCCTGAATGCTATTGAGATAAAAATATCAACTCGATCACATTTTTGGAAGTCCAGCGTCTTTCCAGTCAGATGCTCCAACATTCTACAGCTGATTAATGTGGCTTAAAATTCTAATGAGAGGTAGTGAGCTGAATGTAAATCATTTCAGTTGTCCTCATTGACAATCACTCACTAATGAGTATGATTGTCCACCTAAGATATTCCATGTCACTGGTCAGGAGTTGTCGGTCCTTGTGTGTCTGATGAGCCTAATCCTAGAGCTGCATCTCCAATCACAGGTTTTTCTTGAGATGGAGTTAGTCCTTGACCTTGAGATCATTGACATTCTTTTCTCTGGTTTCTTTTCTGTACATTTCCTTGCTGCTGGGTGCTCTCAAAGAATCGTGTTCTTTCACACAGGAGTTTCCTCCAAGTCAGCCTTCTAGAAATGCATGTGCAGATGAAAAAGTACCTACTTGTTTCCAAGTTGGATCCATTCCTCCTTAAGCTTGCTACCTCTTTTAATCGCAGGTCTCGGAGCAGGGGGAGGACGGTTATTGAAGATGATGACAGTATGGATGGGTTGGAGGCAACAGAAAATGCAATGGAAACAGGTAAGAAATTACTTTTTCTGATACTTTGAGTTGAGAATCATGTTTTTCTTCAAGTGTTCACAAGATGCATCTTAGGCTTGTAATTTGCTAGTGGAACTGGAAAATACCAAACATCATCAAGTTGAAGCTCATTCAAAATAATTTAATAACAGCGCTGTCCTCAGCCAAATGTTTTAAGCTGAAATAAAGCAAAACTGTGGATCTGGAGATCTGAAACAAACAAAAACAAATTTCAGCAGTTCTGGCAGCACCTGTGGTGAGAAAAGAGTTAATGTTTCAAGTCCTGTGACTCTTCTTCAGAACAGACCTTTCTTCTGAAGAAAGGTCACAGGACTCAATGTTAACAATGTTTTAGGCTGTTTGCCGTCCGCAGTGTGCCAGTCTAATGGATATTTGAGATATAAACTAATCGGAGCAGAAAACGTTGAGTGGATTGATTAGGGTTTTTAAGTGTTTTGATAGACTGATTAAGAAAAGATGACTTTGGATTACGCATCAACCAAATTTTTTGCTGAGAGCTCAAAGGATTAGCTGATTGTTATTTATGTTGTCAGAATAGGAAAAGCTTTGGCAAAGAGACAGGAATGAAAGTCAACCTAACTTTATATTTCATAGAATCCCTACAGTGTGGAAACAGATCCTTCGGCTTGTATACAAATAGAAAAATTTCTTCTGGAAAAGGAGGACAAAAGTGTTGTCTGCCATTTACTTTAAATTATACCAGGCCCCCCTAACCAAAGGACCCATGCTGTTCTTTCATCATTGTTGGGTTAAAATCCTGGAGTATTTTAAACATCGCAATTGTGGGAGCACCATCACCAGTTGAGCATGTTCCAGCTTGATGCCTACAAGTACCATCATCTTGACAATCAGATGGGCGATGTTCTCAAAATAAGCACTACGTTTCTTGTGCGAGCTTGAATGTGGAATTCCTTCAAAAACTACTATTAAATCACATCCACCAACATATGAATGTTTCCAATGCTCGTCAACATCGTATTGCTCAGTGGATTATTGTTTATTGTGGAAGTGGAAGCTAAAATGTTGCAATTTATTCAAGGCACAATAAATGTTGTACTTCTCAGATTTCTCTTGTATGTATTGCCCATAAGATATAGGAACAAAGTCCTGCATAAGAGATTATTGTGCAAGATTAAAGCACGTGGGATTGGGGAAGTGTATTGAGATAAATAGAAAACTAGTTCATGGAGAGGAAACAAAAATAGGAATTAATGGGTCCTTTTCAAATTGATAGGCAGTAACTAGTGGGGTGCCACAAGGATTGGTGGTGGGACCCCAGCTATTCACAATATATATTAATGATTTGGATGAGGGAACAAAATGCAACGTCTTGAAATTTGCAGATGATACCAAGTTGTGTGGGAGAGTTAACTGTGACAAGGATGCAGAAGTCGTTCAGCATGATCTGTACAGGTTGGGTGAGTGGGCAAATCAATGGCAGATGCAGTATAATTTGGATAAATGTGAGGTAAATTGGGAGAGAGGAGTGTGCACTGGGAGCTGGGTGTCCTTGTGCACCAGCTGCTGAAGGTAAGCATGCAGGTGCAGCAGGCGGTAAAGAAGGCAAATGGTATGTTGGCCTTCATTGCAAGAGGTTTCCAGTACAGGAGCAGGGATGTGTTGCAGTTTTACAGGGCCTTGGTGATGCCACGCCTAGAATATTGTGTACAGTTTTGGTCTCCTTTTCTGAGGAAGGATGCTCTTGCTCTCGAGGGAATGCAGCGAAGGTTTATCAGGCTGATTCGGAGGATGGCGGGACTGATGTATGAGGAGAGATTGACGAGGTTAGGATTCTTTTTGCTGGAGTTCAGATGAATGAGGGGGTGGTCTCAGACTTTTAAAATTCTAACAAGACTGGACAGAGTAGATGCAGAGAGGATGTTCCCGATGATTGGTGTGTCCAGAACCAGGGGTCACAATCTGAGAATTTGGAGTAGACCATTTAGGCTGGACATGAGTAGACATTTCTTCACCCAGAGTGTGGTGAGCCTGTGGAATTCATTACCACAGGAAGTAATTGACACTGAAACATTGAATGTATTCAAGAGGTGGCTAGATATAGCACTTGGGGCAAATGGGACCCAAGGTTATAGGGAGAAAGCGGGATTAGGTCATTGAGTTGGATGATCAGCCATGATCGTGATGAATGATGGAGCAGGCTCGATGGGCCGAATGACCACCTCCTGCTCCTATCTTCTATGTTTCTATGAACTGAATTAGGCCATTTGGCCCATCAAGTCTGCTGCACCATTTGATCATGACTGATGTGTTTCTCAACCCCATTCTTCTGCCTTCTCCCTAAAGGGGGAGGGTGAGCAGCCAGAAGTTGTGGTATACATTGGTACCAATGACATAGCTAGGAAAAGGGATGAGGATCTGAAAAGTGAATATAGGGAGTTAAGGATGGAAGCTAAAAGCCAGGATGAGCAGAATTGTAATCTCAGGATTACTACTGGTGCCATGGACTAGTGAGGCCAGGAATAGAGACCGAGTGCAGCTGAACATGTGGCTACAGAGCTGGCGTAGGATATGTGTATCATTGGGATACCTTCTGGGCAAGGTGGGATCTGTACAAGGACAAATTGCACCTGAACTGGAGGGCACTAATATCCTGGGTGGGAGATTTGCTAGAGCTCTTTGGGAGGGTTTAAACTAGTTTGGCAGGGGAATGGGAACTGGAGCTACGGATCAGAGGATGGGGGAGCAGGTGTACAGGCAGATGCAGCATGCAGAGAGTCTGTGAGGAAGGATAAACAGTCGATAGGGCACAGTTGCAGTCAGTGCGACTGGTTGAAGTGTGTCTATTTTAACGCAAGAAGTGTCAGGAATAAGGGTGACGAACTTAAAGCATGGATCAGTACTTGGAACTACAATGTGGCTATTACGAAGACTTGGATAACACGGTGTTGGATGTTCTGGAGTTTAGAGGTTTCAAAAGAAATAGGGAGGGATGTAAAAGAGGTGGGGGTGTGGATTTGCTAATCAGGGATGGTATCACAGCTGCAGAAAGGGAGGCCGTCGAGGAGGGTTTGTCTACTGAGTCAGAAACAGGAAAGGAACAGTCACTTTATAGACCCCTGAATAGTAACAGAGACACTGAGGAACAAACTGGGAGACAGATTTTGGAGAGATACAGAAGTAATAGGGTTGTTGTCATGGGTGACTTTAACTTCCCTAATATAGACTGGAGCCTCCTAAGTGCAGATAGTTTGGATGGAGCAGATTTTGTCAGGTGTGTCTAGGAAGGATTTCTGACCCAATATGTAGATAGGCCAACTAGAGGGGGAACCATAGTGAATATGGTGCTTGGCAATGAACCAGGCCAGGTGTCAGATCTCTCAGTCGAAGAGCATTTTGATGATAGTGATCACAACTCCCTGACCTTTACTATAGTCACGGAGAGGGATAGGAGCAGATGATATGGGAAAGTATTTAATTGGGGAAGGGGGAATTACAATGCTATTAGGCAAGAACTGCGAAGCATAAATTGGGAACAGATGTTCTCAGAGAAATGCACAACAGAAATGTGGAGGTTGTTGAGGGAGCAGTTGCTATGAGTACTGGATAGGTTTGTCATACTGAGGCAAGGAAGGGATGGTAAGGTTTTCATTTCATATTTCATACAATCCTTAAGGAACCTTGGATGACAAGACATGTGGAACATCTAGTCAGGAGGAAGAAGGAAGCTTACTTAAGGTTGAGGAAGCAAGGATCAGTCAGGGCTCTAGAGGGCACAAGGTAGCCAGGAACGGACTGAAGAATGGACTTAGGAGAGCTAGAAGGGGGTTTGATAAAGCCTTGGTGGGTAGAATCAAGGAAAACCCCAAGGTGTTCGGTACTTATGTGAGGAACAAGAGGATGGCCAGAGTGAGGGTAGGGCCAATCAGTGATAGTGGAGGGAACTTGTGCGCGGAGTCAGAGGAGATCCTGAATGAATACATTGCTTCAGTATTCCCCAGTGAGAGGGACCTTGATGTTTGTGAGGACAGTGTGAAACAGGCTGATATACTCAAACAGATTAATGTTAGGAAGGAGGATGTGCTAGAAATTTTGACAAACAAGAGGATAGATAAGTCCCCTGGACCAGACAGTATATACCCACAGTTACTACAGGAAGCAAGGGAAGAGATTACTGCCCCTTTGGCAATGATCTTTGCGTCTGCACTGTCCACGGGAGTAGTACCCGATGATTGGAGGGTGGCAGATGTTCTGATGTTCAAGAAAGGAAATAGGGATAATCCTGGGAATTACAGACCAATCAGTCTGTCTTCTGTGGTGGGCAAATTATTGGAGAGGATTCTGAGAGATAGTATTTATGATTATTTGGAAAAGCACAGTTTGATTAGAAATAGTCGGCATGGCTTTGAGAGGGGCAGGTCATGCCTCACGAGCCTTATGAATTCTTTGAGGATGTGACAAAACACATCAATGAAAGTCAAGCAGTGGATGTGGTGTATATGGATTTTAGCTAGGCATTTGCTAAGGTTCCCCATGGTAGGCTCAGAGAAAGGAGGCATGGGATTCAGGGAAATTTGGCTGTCTGGATACAAAACTGGCTGTCCAATAGAAGACAGTGGGTGGTAGTAGATGGGAAGTAATCAGCCTGGAGCTCGGTGACCAGTGGTGTTCCGCAGGCATCTGTTCTGGGACCTCTGCTGTTTGTGATCTTTATAAATGATTTGGTTGAGGAAGTGGAAGGGTGGGTTAGTCAGTTTGCCGATGACACGAAGGTTGGTGGAGCTGTGGATAGTGTGGAGGGCTGTTGTAGGTTGCAGCGGGACATTGACAGGATGCAGAGCTGGGCAAAGAAGTGGTAGATGGAGTTCAACCCAGAAAAGTATGAAGTGATTCATTTTGGAAGGTCGAATTTGAAAGCAGAATACAGGGTTAATGGTAGGATTCTCGGCAGTGTGGAGGTACAGAGGGATCTTGGTCCATGTCCATAGATCCCTCAAAGTCACTACCCAAGTTGATAGGGT